TGTGGGGTTATAATCTTAGCTCTTAAATAGAAATAGTGGAATCACTCCCATTATTACAAATCTCACAGTTTGCCAGAATCTGGAAAGATGAGAATATATGTTGTGGTTTTGAGGCTTGGGGGCAGGACAGGTAATCTCTGGGACCCAGGATGGTCCCAGGGGAAGCAGTTTATTCCCTCACCTTCCTCTCCACACTCTTTAAAAGAGGCAGGAAGTGGGTGCTTCATGCTCTCTTGCCCTGTTGCTCTTGGTCTTGGTGCTGCTGAGGTTCAGCCTGCCTGATTCCATGCAGTCCTGAGCAATCCTACTGCCATCTGAGATTTGGGGTTTGTATATCTTGTTTACTTTGTATTCCTCCCATCTTTGTATACGTATCTACCTCCCTTTTTGCTTTCTGTTTTCTGTTAATCAATATACTTTATTTTATTTAACTTCCAATCGGTGCAAAGCCTCTCTCTCTGGGGGGAGCACACAAAATTCTGTTCCGTGGGGGGCCCACCCTGAGTTCTGATACGGAACCAGAACAACATCAGGCATATCCAAGCAGGACTCTGGAGGGTCGTTGCGTTCTAAGAAATCCTCTGTCAGTACAGGTGCTGCAGAATAAGGAATTCATTTATCTGAAGTCAGATGTCTCTGAAGGATTATACAGATATCAAAAACAGTGAATAGAACTAACAGCACCATTAGAGAAGAAGCAGCTGAAGTAATTGGTTCCCCTGAGCCTGTTTAAGCAGTGAGAAGATGGAAACTGAGGTGATTGTCCATGTGACCAAATCAACAGGACAAGCAAACACAATTGTGTGAGGAAAAATCATAGAGGAAAGGAAGGCAGAATGCCCAGGGACAGCATGAATCTGAAACATCAGCATCTGAATGGAGAAATGATGGGGAGATCTAAAGGGTAAAGGAAACATAAAGACAGATTTCAGTCAGTGCCTAAAGATGACACTCTTCAGAGCATGTTGGCATAGTGAAGGGAAAGATGAGACAACTGTAAATATTTATAACATGGCAATGTCCTGTTGACTTACTGAGTTGAACAAGGGACACAAAACAGAGTATTGTCAACAGTGAACCACTAATTCATGTTACTAATGCTTCTGTCATCCATACAAAAAAAATTTCAATTACTTCTGATATCTTTGTTTCAGACTGCTCAAAATTGCCCTCTGATCTACATATTTCCCCTTTTATTTCCTGAAGGTGACTTTTCTGCAGGCTTCTAAATATCAGGTAAAAAAAATATGCTGTGGCAATATGTTTGGCTCACAGAACACAGCTTATATTTGCTGTTGCTTTTGATCATATTCTTGACTTCCTGTCACTGTTCTGGTGAGATGTGGAGATTCTCTTGCTCTTCAGGTGCCCTGGGTGTAGTTTTATGAGCCCAAGAAAGTTGAATTTTGTTTCTGCAGTTTTCAGAAGGATTAGTGCAGTCTGGCAGAGAAGTGTCTGCTTGTAGTTTTTGCAAAAGTCGTGAGTTCCTGTAAATGGCAACATCATCATCTCTCCCTGAGCAGCAGTGCTCATGTCAGTGAAATGTCCCGGCTACCCACATGCCCACAGTCAGAGGAAAACACCTTGACTGTCTTCTCAGAGCAGGGCACCCTGAGGGCAGTAACGGCACTAGGGGAGAGAGACATTGTCCCAAACAGTCAGCAGAGCCCTTTTAGCTGTACAAAATTACTATTTTCTGTGTCTTTCCAGGAATCAGAACCACACACCAGGACCCACTTAATGGTCTGCGCAAGCGAATGACCATTCCCACAAGAGATGTTCCTATACCAAACCCACCATCTGCCACCCAACAGCAAAGTGGTCAGAAAGCACTTGCCTCAGGTTCAGGAAAATGTGTTACAGGTTCTCCCAAGGAATACCACCCCTACAGGAGATTGCAAAGCTTTCCCCGTGGGTGCTGTGCTGGGAGTGGATCCAGGTGGCCGTGGTAGCCCTGCACAGGCTGCTTGACACTCCCGCCGTTCAGAATAAACTATGGGTAGAGTATTGGTCCTGATGGTGCTAGTACCTTGAGTAATCATCCATCTAAAGCAGTGTTTTTTCTATTCTTACTTGTTTGCAGGCCTCTCAAAAATGTCCCAGCAGAGCTGTATGTCTGTACAACAAACTCCAGCCTGCTGACAAATGTACTTGATTTTGTTAACCTTCTGTGACCTCTCAGAGCAGACCAGGGCCAGTCCAGTTTCTATATACCACCTGATGAAAACTCCTGTCCTTAAGCGCCAGCAGCTTTTGTACCTAGACTGCTGTAGCTCTATAATTCCTGGTGATCTATGGTGGTTTATGCTATTTAATTACATATGGAAGGAGAAGTAGCTGTATGGTGACAAGACATTTCTATGTGAATACTCCTGATGCTGAGGGACTTGGACTAATATACTTTTGTCTAAAATTCAGACTTCCAAACGGCAAAGCTTCCTGGCACAGAAACAACCCTTAGTCCCAGTCCAAGAGGTCTGCTCATGTTTATAAACATGTACAGGTGCAGCCTGATCGCTTACATACACCTGCAGCTTAGGATGCCAAAGTGAACATGTGGTTCTTCACAGAAAAAAAGTCTTTAAAACCATTGTCTGTACAACAGGCTTGCTGGAGATACGAGTGAGTTCAAACTCGTGGGTTCAATTAATTCTCTGGAACAGCTCTGGGTTTTGTCTTTATTTTTGTTTCCTATGTCAGATCTGTGAAGCAGATGGATTTCAAACCGTAGAAAGTGTTCATGGAAGACGTTTAACAAAAATAATTCTTATTATGGAAAAAGAAAAAAAAAAAGCTCGCTGAACATTTCTTTTTCCAGTTGTGGGAGAAAAGTAAGGGAAAGGGATTGTTTGTCTTGAAGTATGTTTTCAATTTCACATTGCAGTCTGATATCAGTGCACACACTATGGTTGATCTGTTCATGCTGATCCAATACAAGTTGATGTTAGGAATGACTTCTGAGAATTACATGGCCTTTGCCTTTTTAAAAAATGCCTGCACTGGTATATTCAGCCCAAAATAGCAACCTGCCAGGCCTGGGCTAAGACAAAGGGAGAAGTTAAAGGAGGAAATGCCTTGTTTGGAGAATGAACTGTGAAGCTGGACAAGAGACAAGCTTGAGCATTTTCTTCCAGGGGGATTTTCTGCTGTCTGGAGAACAAGAGCCAGGGCACAGAGCCGAGGGAATGGAGAGCCAGGCTCTACTGGAGGCCCTGCTTTGTAGGGGAACTAAGAACCAGGCAGGTAGGGGATGGTGCTGGAGATGTTTTACAGGGCTCTGAATCATGGCAGAATGAGGAAGCTGAATCACAATAGCTGAGCTTTGTGTGCACAGCTCAGAACTGTGGCCTGGAAAACAGAGTGAAGGAAGAAGATGCAGAGTGGCTGTGAGTACCAGTATGGGGGTGGGAGCTGGTGCTGTGCCCCAGGGACTCCCAGTGTGGCAAGAATGGTGCAGCTCTGGGGCTGCAGTTCTCCACCACCAGTAGGTGGGCATTTTTTAGAATCTGCTGCAGATTTCCTTAAACTTGTCAATCTCTGTTTGTGATGGTGTGTTGTCTGTGTATAGACACAGACTATTTTTAAGAATATAGTATTGAAGCAAAGATGGACACTTCTCTCATGCAGATCCATCTCTTTCTCATGCAGGTCCACCTCTCCCTCGGGTTATTGGTCAATGTGAAATTTTCTATGCCAGACAGTGAATTTTTTCTAGCTTTGCAGCCAAAAGCTCTATAATTACACGTGAGATTTGGGCTACACGAAGCCATTATAAAGGAGGTCAGTTTGAAGAAGTCTGCAAAGTGGCATAGACTGTATCGTGCCACTTCAAGTGCTGTCACTGTATAACACAATGGGGGGCAGAAGACAGGGCAGATACAAATAGGCTGTGCTCACATTGCCTGTGTGACCCAGGCCAGAGACCACAGCAATGAAACAGTAATTTCTTTTTTTCATTTTTTCCATCCAGACCAAACCAGATTCCAGTGTGGAGAGTCACAGGGTCAGCCCCATATGTATTGCAGATACGCACATCCTTAGAGACAGATGGGCTTGTAACGAACCCCTTGGATGTGACCTGGGTTTTTTTCCTTCCTGTTGTTTCTGTTACCATCACAACACTCTGACAGCTTGTTTTGCCAATGACCAGGCCAAACAGGAATGACACAACCAGCAGGAAGAGAATCCAATATGCAGACTGTATTGTAGACACAAACGTTACGATATGAATGACCGCCAGGGGTACAAACAGATCGGTCAGCTCATACATGATTGACACCACCCCCAACAATCCAACAAAGGATGCAGCTCGGCCCACAACAGGTGGTACAAACAGTGAACCAAGGTTTCCCATAGTTGTCATGGGAAAGAGCCAGACCAGCAAGCTGAACACATAAGAAAAAGGTACCCACACGGCGACTCTCACCCAATCAGCCCATGTTCACAAAGGTCTTAAGCAGACTGGGGCCCAGCTCCAGGGAGAGTCAGGAGGTCTGCCCTGAACTAGGAAGCTCTGTGGAGTGCACTCCACAGCCAGACACTCCTGACTCCCTGCAAGTGGTCCCAGCTTTTATCCCCAAGCAGACACCTGACCTTTGTTCACTCAGTGCGGGACCCCTGGGGCTCATTTCCCTTATGGCTCTCCCTGCAGGGCCGGCCGCACCCTGGGGGGAAGCTATAAGGCAAACTCACCACCTCTGTATGAAGGGCTGTGGGAATCACCCATATGTCAACCTTAATTCAGGGCTTGGGGTTCAGACCCCAGCATTTCACATCTTGAGCTAACCATTCAGAAAGCCAGGCTGAGACATTGCCTCTCTAGTGTTTCCCTGAAGAATCTCATTGTGTTTGGCTGTCTGAAGCCAGTTCTTTATGCCTCTTCGTATTAGTGCAAATACTGGAAAACCACAGAATGCAAGATGTGTGAGCCAAACCCACCAGCTTTTTTCACCATACAGCTCAAAAAGAACAGTTGCTAACTGTCTTCTGTTTTTCATCAGTCCTGTACCTGGAAGGATCTGTCCTTGTATTTGAGGATGTCTTCAAACTGGTTGCCTTCTACTGTGTCAGTAGGTGAGTTGGATTCATTGCTTCCAGGGCGGGTTTGCTTTGCTCTCCCTCCTAACACTGCACTCCCCCAGCATCCGCTGTTCCCTCCAGTTTCCTCTAACCTGCCAGACCAGGAGGTATTTCAGATGCTAGTATCTACAATGGGGCTGGATCACCAGTTCCTAGCCAGGCACACCACAACCACAGCCCTCCCTGAAGCTGGAAGCTTTGTCTGAGGAAGGTCTCTAGGGCTGTACCCACAAAGGGCTGAGGCACAGGAAAGGGGCTAGCAGAGCAAGGAGTTGAGAAAGAGTCCTGGGGATTAACCATCGCATATTTAAAGCAGATTTAAGCATCCACACACACCTGGCAGTGACCTCCTTGCAGACTGCGGGAGACTCAGAGCACTTAAACACCTATGGTGAATCTCTCAAGGGAGTAGTCCTGAAACAATTTCTGTTCTTTAGACAAAATTTAAAAACAAAATAGAGCGATAAAGAAGATGCCTTGTTTGTTTGCTCAGCACAGAAATGCCAAAAGTACTGGGGGACCAACCTGTAAGGTCATTTTCATTACGGCAAGGTTTGATCAGGAACTGATGAGTCCCTCTGTGCAATTAAACCTGTGTGTCTGCAGTCTCTTCTAATCTGTGCCTGTGCTGAGCACACTGCAGTCACACCCCTACAACCAATTTACTGATTCTTTCTGCAGCAAGCCTGGTTTTGAGTTGGATGTAAACTTTTGAACTCCCCTATATAAACTTAGATGACTCCTTAAGTAGTTATTTCCATTTAAGAGGGAAAAGCAGATTCCGGATATGCTGGCAAGGCAGTTGTGTTAATGACTTGGTTAGGGCATGTGGTAGGACCAGTTTATCTATGGCATGATACGACGTGCTGCAGCTCATCCAGCCAGTAATATTCACACTATTTTGAGGGCTACTTCTGCAGCCAGCTGAGTTCAACGCCGCCGTGCCAGGACTCCTGCCCACATGCAAGGGACCATGCTCTGTCTCACTCCCATCACTGAAAAGATATTTAACCGTTTAGATGTGTATAGACCCTACAGAATGGGCATAATTTAGCCCCTGGACCCACATAAAGACTTCTGTCATACCAAAGCAAAGAAAAACCCAAATGCAAACAAGAATTGGGCATTTCTAGTCAATGGCTGGTGGGAGGGAAAATACGCTTGCTTCTGCTTTCCTGCAAAAAGGATCAGGGCTTAAGCAAGAGTCTTAGAAAGAAAGAAAAGCTTTTATGTTAGTTCAAATTATTGTTACTTCTGATTGTCAAATACACATTCAGATGGTTCATGTGATTTCTCATGTTACTGTCAAAAGACAAGGTAAATAGGGAATAAGTTTCTGAGAATCAGGTAATCAAAAGGCTGCTTAGGCACTGACCTGTTGTTTGCTGGCAGCCTGTAGGAGCTCTCTGTGATGGTGAGTTGGAGAGGCTTGTTCTCAGGGCTGTAGTAAATAGCTATAGGTAGCTTGAAAAAGCTTATTAGGGCTGACAGGCTCTTCTCAAAAGAAAGTTTGGCCTGGCTAGATTACTGTAGATTATAAAAGTAACAGCTATAGGTAGCAGGTGACTTGATGGCTTGTCTGCAAGCTGCTGCCCCATGAATAAAGCCAGATTTATATTTTTTTTAGGGTAATGTCTTAACTTTTCCTGATTTTTAGATGCATTTTCCTACTAAAATTAAAAAAAAAAAAAAAAGAAGAAGAAGAAGAAGGGATCTATTCTTGCATATAACAATAACAAAGAAAGCAGAAGGTCCATGGACCCCCTTCCTCTTTTAAACCTGAAATCGGCCATGAGAAAAAAATAACCTTGAGATCACATCAGTTTATATCAAACAGTACGACAAGAAGAGTGCTCAGTGATGCTCCGAGAACCCATGAAGTACACAGTACATCAGTTAAGATACATGTCTGTTAATGAGGGCAAAAATAGCTCCCCTGCATTCATCTGCCAACAGATCAGTCTGCAGTCACATGCTTTTTTGGGGTGTGTGTTTGCGTAGCAGAGACCACCCACTCACAAGGCCAGCTCGTTCTAAAAGAATTTCCTGCAGCTAAACTTTTTAACGTGCAGTATGATCCTGTGCCCTTCCTTGCCACCCTCTAGGTACTACTCTTACTGGCTTTTCTAGTCCTTTTTAGAACAGGAATTGAGGTAGGAACACGTTGAGCAAATTGTCACTGGGCACAAGGCAAGCCTAAACATTACACTGCCAGCCAAAGAGCTCCATTAAATTATTTGAGACTTGGGGTTTGTTTCAGTGGAACCCAAGTAATGTCCTCTGAGAATTTATATTTTTTTCCCAGTAAAAATACAGCATCTTTCCGGACACCAAGCAGTCAGAAGTCTGAGAGGGAGAGCAGAGGGATATATGTCTTTTCTCAATGTCATGCAGCACTTCATCATTGTCTGTCACTTCACCCCGTGGTTGCACCTCCTCAGGAGGGGTCTTCCTGTCCTAACCCCACTGTGTCTTGCCATGTTCCAGCACGTTACACTTACACTGGTTTTTAAAAATGAAAGCAGGATGGGGAGAGAGGGTTAAATAGAAAGAAAAAGGATAATAAACCTCCTCCACACAAAAAAGAATGGCTTTTCTAATTATAATAAACAACATTTGCACCACCTCACTTTTCATGGGAAGGTATTTGAACCCCTGTGGCCTCCTCAGAGGTGAGGGGCATTGCTGCTCTTTGAGGAGGGTGAAACCAAGATGCAGTGATTAAGCCAGTGGCAGAGCATGAAGCACTACCACAGAAGCTGGTGATCTCTTGTGAAATAGAGCCACCCAGGTCAGCACAATGTCTGTGGTGCCTTACTGGCCATGAGATCTCCCTCTGACAACATCCAGGACTTTGCAGATCAGGGCTGAAATTGTGAACCAATTCAGTCACTCAAACCAATAGTAAAATCTGGAGTTCCTTACAGTTGCAGGCCTTATTCTTTTGCTGGGTTTTCACTGTGTTTGTTTTTACAGGGATTTGCTGCCCTTCACCCTGAAGCTGCCACAAGCAATATTAGAAGCCAGTAGCTTTCAAGACCTTGAAATTATCTCTAGTCTGGGAATAGGTAAGTAAGTCCCTCAAATCAGCCAGAGTTTCACTCAGACTTATTAGAACCATAGTGCACAGCCATAATGCAACTGGAGGACAGATGAACCACTCAGAATGGTTGAGGAGGCCTGAATGCAAGAGAGAAACTGTTTATTATCTTTATGTTATACCAAAAAAATAAAGGCCACTTGCTCCTTTGGACATAAGCCTCCATGAGGGACCTACAGTCTCCCTGTATAAGCTGGGGCTTCCAGCAGCTGAAGAGCAGCACAGCCTCTCAGGACAGCTTCACACATTGGAATTAGTTGGCATCTGAGCTATATGAAAAGAAGAAAGCACCTTTGCAATTTATCCTTATGTGTGGGGGCAGTGCTGATGGAAGTCTGATATTTCTGAACTTCGATAGTTCAGCTTGTTCTTTCTGGATTTCTAGTTGGTAGAGAAGTGTGTAGTGTCCCAGCGTGTTCTTTTGCCTCACACTAATCAGATACAAAGAGGAATGTTATTTTTAGTTACAGCACCAAATGCACAAATTTTAGACCAGGTGTATAACATCACAGAGCTGGGAAATGCAGTTTAGTTAACCAAAGCTCTCCTTCCTTTTCCCTCCTATTTAACACAGTCCACCTGAGACAGCTTTTACAGTTAGCCACTCTCATGCTACTTTGGCTTTCAGTTTTCACTCAGCTTTGAAAATAGCCGAACAAGAGTGAAAGCTGGAGAGTTAGCTTACTTAGAGACACTCACTAGAGCACTCTGGGGATTTAGGGATCTATTTTTGGATGTTCTGCATTATACCTCCCAGAAGGCATGGGCAAACCCCACTGGTTTCACTTCAGGCAGTTTTGTTGAATTTGACTGTCGGATTTGCCTCTAACATTTTCAGCATCCTCTATTTTGAATATGTTCCAATTTGTCAAAGCATCCTTGAGTATGGATATTCAGAAAGCACTTACCACTTAAAGAAAGGCACTTTGCAACTTGAGATAGAAAGTTGTAAACTTATTATTAATTTCATTGTAACAAATGTGAAAATTTGGCTTAAAATGTAAGAAGTGTATCATGATTTCCCAACCTTTGGTCTAGTTTGAGCCATCAGAGGAGATCCTGATTCCAGCAACAGTCTCCAGCAACCTCTGAAAGGAAGGATTAACTAAAGCACAAGCACCAAAGCAATGTTGGTCGTAGTTTCCTTCCTTCTCTCCTGTACACTGGTGGTCGTAAAAGTGGTGATGGTTGGAGGTTTACTTGCCACAGTACCTTGCATGCCAGGAAGTTTCTGACAATAGAAGAAAACCTGCTGTTGTGTAAAGATTTTCTGGGAAATGATCCTAGCTTCTTGGAATGCCATGCTGTCTCAGGAAAGTCAAACAGGCTGAAAAGTTACTAATGCTGTTTACTACTTCGTGGAACAAAATTTCATGGGTATAAATGGGTACACAAACAATAAGAGCTGCTTAAGCTGTAGTGGCACTCCCAAAGGAAAGCTGGCTTGTTTGAAACTCTCATTTGTTGCTGTATATTTATTTAAAACTGATACATCTTTTGAGAAGGTAGAAGTAAGATGTCTGCCTGCAAGCTGGGCTGTTCCCCAGAGGACCTGGGTGCTGTGTATATTGTAAAAGAGGATGGAGCGCAGGCCCTCTAGTCCTGAACCCACTGGTAAAGAAGGCATTTCACAAGAGAATTATCATGCTTTCACTGCACAAAGAGCACAGACCATCACAGAAATGCCAAAGTCTCAGAGAATTGCTTATTTATCACTTCCAGAGTGTAAGCCAATGGAGAAGCCAGGACAGCAATGGGAGACATTTAAACTACCTTTCCTACTGTACAGGACAGCATGGCTGGTCTGGGAAACACCCTCTCTGAGGGAGCTGTGTAAACCTTGGTAGGACCACCACAAGTGGTCCTTCACAGTCTGAGTGGTGCATTACATTTCCTCAGTGTCTTATCCTGACCACTACTGAGAAAAAATAACCAACTTCCCTTTTGTAGATTGGTTTACTCACCATTTCCTCAGCCCATGAGACAGCATAGCATTATGTTCTGGCTTAAACAAAAACTGTCCTGCATTTGCAGGAAACTCCAGTAGAGTTGGAGTGTTTAAAAGAAATCATACCCCAGAGACTCTCATACATGAAGAGCTGGCAGCATGATGCTCTTATGTGGGCTTGCATCTGCATGTCTGCTCCCAAATTCTGTTGTCAAGAGTGCTGCTGTTCCTGGCAACACTTTTATTTTAAGCTTCTTTGTTCTTCTCCCTCCCATGGTAGGAAATCAGAGAATAAAGCTGTCCTAACCTTATCATCCCTAAGAAAATGCTTACAAAGCCAGGTTAGCCACTAGCCTAGGCTGCTTGAGGCTAAATCAGCCCTTTTATCCTGATGGGAATGGACAGTCTTTTAGTTCACCTGTATGTGGCTCACTCTGTGCCTATGTTATAGAAGCGCTTAGTTGGAAGGAGCAGAGGGGCAGCAAGGAGTCAGCCTGCCCATCCTACAGCACTGGCACCTGCTGGAAGGGAAGGAACAGTCTCTGTCCCTGGGGCAGATGGCTGTGGCCAGGGGACCACATCACTGGCAGAAGGAGGCAAGGCCAGCAGTGGGCCCAGGGCACCAACAGAGAAAGGCAGAACCATGCAGCAGGCAGGTCATGACAGCAGCAGAAAGAAGGTGGCTTTTTCAGCAACAACAGGGAGGTGGATGCAAGTGGGAAGCCATCAAAAGTCCTGGCTACGCCAGGGAGTGAAATAGGAAGAAGTGACCTGTCTTTGGGGACACAGTGGGCAAGGGAGAGATTTTATCTGCATGTGTTTCACCCCCACATTCTGCGTTGGCTTTAGCAGAAGAGTTTCTTTGCTCTGTTTTCAGTTCTGCTATGACCTTCCTAACTGGAAGTCCCTTTGAGCTTTTCTGGGGTGCTGGTTTTTAGGAAGAGGCACAGGCAGACCTTGCCAAGCCTTTGGCCAGCTCAGCCCTCTGCTCCCTCCCCTGTGATAGGCTGGGGGCTATGCTGGTGCAGCCAACAGGAGAATGGGGCCCTGGCAAGGCACAGCTGAAGGCACCATCCTGAGAGCTGTACCACATGCTCGGCGCTGAGGGTCATCCCATGCATGTACAGCCCCATCCATCCTCTCTTGGGCCCAGTACATGATGTTGTTGCAGTAAGACAGGCTTGACACCAAGCACAAGGCAGGGTTCAGGCACTGTGTGGTAGCCCCATTCGTGTCCTCTGTAGGTCCACCCAGAATAGTGTGCCATCAGTGTCAGCTCTGTGTCCAGAGACCAAGCATGCTGAAAGCCTTATTTAGTTATCTGCATACTTGTGTTTCCAAGATTTCCTACTTGTCTCTAAATCTGTGGATATCCACACAGCCCTTACCCAGTGAATTCCTTCAGAGGTTTATACCTTTTCCTTTTCCTTGGTCAGAACACATGGGGTTTGAAAGATCCTCTTTCCCAGTGCTTCCAATAGTGGACCCTGGATTAGCAGCCCTAAGAGTAATTAAAAGCAATCAGACTGGTAAGGCAAACAGGTTTGGATTCTCAACTCGAGGGGAAGGGAAGGTTAAACGTGATACAGAATCTGTTCAAAAGATGTGCAAATGCCTTGCAATTTCTAGTAAGAGGTTTTTGACATACAGAAATGACTACTTGCATTTGAAACACCACCTTCCTTTTCCACTCGTAGTGGATGACACTATTCTTTAGCCCTTCAGTATACAACATTCCAGTGTACACAGTCATTTTCACCATCTTTTTTCTCTTACACCTAGAGGCAGGAAGTTTCAAGCAAGGTTCAAAATGGAGAGTGGTCATGGGTATGGATAACTGTCATCCAGAGCTATAGACTTTAATATCAATTTTAAGCTGTGGAAGGTATTTAAAATCATGTTTCCAGACTGATTGTACTGCAAAGCAGGATCAGACCTCTGTGCAGAACAGACTCTGCCACATGAGGTTGCTGCACAGTAGAGTCATCTTCATCTGATGTCTCTTTTGCTCCCGGCGCACACTGGATCCAGGCTGTATATCTCAGCCCTGCACTTTCCCACAGTCAGCAAGAGGGAGACAGAACTTGCCTGGGGTCTTCACACCCTCACCTCATGTATCCAGAGCTATCTGCATTAGGAGGGCAGTGATCACTGAACAAGCCATGGACCCTTTTTCACAGTCATTCATATTTGTTACTTTTACCTTCCTGCTCACACTGAATAAGCCGCACAGCATTAACAGTTTTCACTAGGTGAGTGTCCTGAAGTTGTCAAGAAAGAGGTTTCTGGTGAAGCTTCTGAGCTTGTCCCGTGGTTTGAAGCACCTCACAGACATGAAACAGGCAACCCTTTCTTCACACTGTTTTGTGCAGAGGTGTGAAAGCTCGTGTACCATTTCTTTTAACAAAAAGTAGGATGCCTACATACCATTAACAGCTAAAATTCTCTCAGAGCATTTTTTCATCCATCTTTTCTTTCATTGGACAGATTTCTGGGATTCCTCCTTAAACCACAGAAGAAGAGGAGAGGAGTTATCCCACTCTGCAAAAGACTCTGCTTTCAGCACTGCCCAGGCAGACAGTTTAAAGTCTACCCAGAGTTTTGCAAGTAGCACAAACCACTGCTCATGTGAAATTGAGCTGTCAATAGGAAATGACAGGCTGTGGTTCGTGAATCCTATTTTTATAGAAGAGTGCAGTAATCCTTTTCCTCCAGATGTACCTCCTTCTCAAAGCCCTGCTGTGAGCGCCGATCTTCCCCCTGCCACCACGCTTACTGAGAGGAGGTCTCCCCGTCGCCCCCCTCCACCTCCACCTTCTCATGCTTTCGTTCAGAAATCTCCTCTGAAGCTCCCGCGGGATCCCATGACTGCCTGTGACAACGAGCTGCTTCTAGGAAAGAGCATCAAGGAAATGAAAATTGAGGGCGGTGACAATAAGGAAGGGAAGCAGAGCTGCTCAGCCGGTGAGCCCTCTGCAGTGAGCCCTAAGAAGGGCTCCCAGCCCTCTGTCCCCCCGCGGAGGCGGCTGTGCGAGAGGAGCTCGGAGGAGAGCTGTGTGGGTAAGCGTGGAAGTTGTGAAACGCTGAAAGGGGAACGGACAGAAGAAAACCAAGACAAAAGTGCAGAGAGCAGAGATAAAAGGTCGCTGTGCAAAAAGGCGGTAGAAATGCCCGGGGAGGTTCCCGAAAGGGCTGTATCACAGTTTCAGGAGGCAAAGCCCGAACCTGCAGAGAAGAAGGAGGACATGCCTGAGATACAACGCAATGCCCCTGAGAAAGGAAAGTCACCTCCTATCCCACCACCGAGAAGAAAGAGGCTTTCCCAGGTGCCAAGGATCCCCAGTGCCTGCCAGTCAAAGCAAAGAACAGCGGCAGAGCTGGGCACAGCCCCAGCACAGGCTTCGGGCAAGAGCAGTTCACCTGCAGTGGCAGATGGTGCCACCTGCACACACACCAAGACTGAACCGGGACATGGCCGCAAATCCGTCAGCTCAGCTGAACTGAAAGGTTCACACTCCTCCCTGGAGGGCCTGGGGGGCAACGCCGTGGCTCAGGCGTTGGTGTCCGAGCCAGACTCCTACTCCACCAGCAGCACAGAGGATGACCTGGAGGTGCTGAGCAGCTCGTCTGGTAAAAAGACACGCTCCGCGATCCTCGACAAAGCCAAGAACAGACTGTCCTTTGTGAGCCTCTCCAATGTCTTCACAGTCTTTTTGTCTAGTGACAGGAAGCTGCAGAAGAAGATAGTGGAGCTGGCACAGGACAAGGACTCATACTTTGGCAACCTGGTGCGGGACTACAGAGTGTACAGTTTAGAGATGATGGCCAAGCAGAGCTCTAGCACAGAGATGCTACAAGAAATACGGATGATGATGACGCAGCTGAAGAGTTACTTAGTACAGAGCACGGAGTTGAAATCTCTGATCGATCCAGCCTCCTACACCGAGGAACAGTTAGGTAGGTGACCATGCTTTACTCATCCTTGGGCGGGATTTGGGAAGTTTAGGAAGCTGGGATTATGCAGACACAGGTTCTCCTTTAGAGAATTACAAACCATCTCCTAAAAGCTTAAGGGTGTGAATTGAAGTCTACTCTGTGGTTGCCAGCACTTGGAGGAGCAGCTCTAAAAACTGGGAGTCCAACCAGGAGGGAAATCCCATTACGAATGTTTTAAAGGGAAGAGTTCAAGCAGAAGAGACGTGTTTGTGTGTATGAGAGAGACGTGAGTGTATGTATCCGTGCCCTTCCACCTCCACTGCCCCATGCTCTGCAGTGAGGATAGAGAACTCCCTGCACGTAGCAGCCAGACCAGGGGTCAGTTGCGGTCTTACAAGCAGGGACAAGACTATGATGATTTTGAGTGGCAGGCTGGAGGAATCGCTTAATCCTGCTCCGCACTCCTCAGAGCTCAGGGGATGCAGAAAAGCTTCCTGATGCAAGACCACTGCTGGCTCCAGAATGCAGCATTCTCCTCTCCTTGCCATAGAGACAGTTTGCCTTTGGGGAGGAAAAATAATATTTTGGGCTGTTTAGGAGTGTTTCGTTGCTTCTCATTCAATACTCTATGAGGGAGTAACGTGCTGCTCTGCTCCTTGCTAAGAAAAGAACTGGCCTGTTTAATGGATGTTCATGAGGGAAGATACAGCAAGCTGTAGGATTTTTTATCCCCGTCAAAGCCATACAGCCAGAAAAAATATGTATGCATGCACTCGCATGCTCTTCTGACTTAAAGCTGTTTCTTGAGGACCTAAGAACCAACACAGAACTAATTATGAGATCCCAAAGTTGGCTTAAAGCAAGCTGGGAGACCCTCAACACAGAATGTGGCCAAACACAGGAGTGAACAGGGATTCCAGGGGATCCTGCAGCTCCAGTATTAGATGGGACCCAGCTAAATGGTGAGCCAGGACACAGAGGAAGTCAGCTGTCAGGCTTCACATGATCTTGGAGTCCCCCCAGCAGAACAGATCTGCCAGCCCATGCTGGCATATCTTCTAGCTATCTGCCATAGCTAGAAGAGTGGAGCTACAGTTTCATGTCTCACCTGCAATTTTTTTTTCCCAAAAACCCCTTTCTTCAAGGCAGAGGGCATGTCAGCACAGACAAGTTTGTTCTGAATCTTGATTAGGGAAGGTGGAGAGGAGGCAGAAAGGAGAAGTGTCCTTGTTCTGCTTGGTAGAGCTGCGTGTGTGCAAGGATGCCCCCACCTTCACACAGACGTGCCTGGCAAGATGTAGCCCCGCTCACTGGCAGTTCCTTAGGCAGGACAATATGGTCCGGCCTAGGGAGGACAGTCTTCTCTTGCAGAGGACAGGGATTCCCACTGTGGAAGATTTGAATGTGTCCTGCTTCAGGCTGACTGATTCTCTGGGTTCCTTAAAGTAGTTGCATTCATATACACAAATGTTACTGCCCTCTGTTTCATGCCTCACTGACTTAGCAGATGAACTCTTTTGCCAGTGACCTTTTTGCCTTAGTGCAGGGGTGACAAGAGGATCCCTTGCAGTCCCTCAAGCTCTGCCTCTGATTTCTAGGAGATGGGCAACAGAATTTCTCGCAATCTCTCCTGCTTCCTTTTGCCTCCTGCTAAATATTAAGCAAACACTCAACCCACAGAGACTCTTTCATCATCCACAGGTGGTGACTTAAGTAAGAGTCACTTGAGCGGTAAGGGTGAGAAACTTCCGAGCAAATGGTGGTGTCTGCCTCTGAGCTGGTGGCTATAGCCCTTTCTCAGTCACTGTGGGGAAAGGGGCACTTTGAGGATACAGTTAATTTCATCCCAAAGTGACTATCTCAAACAGGTGAGAGAGAGAAAGTACATGAGATGAATCCCACCCAGGCATCTGTAAGAGCAGGGTTGTGAAAAGAAGCACAGTTAGGTGAGATTCCTCATCTCTTACCAGAGCTGGCTGTCCTGCTGCCTGACAGTTCCATACTGGTCAGCCCAGAGTCAGGCAAAGACAGGAGGGGCTGCTGGTAGCAGGAGCTCTCCTACAGCTCTAGTGACAGAGGCACACTGATGTTCATCTCAAGCCTAAACGGGACTTCTGGAGGGTGTTGGTAATGGAACATTTACTTCCTGGGGTTTAATTTCTGTTGCCTGCTCACAGCTACACAGTAGTGCATGAATAACTAACCACATGCTTTCTTACACCTGTACTACTGTGTTGATTATTATGATAGACTTTTGTGTTCTCCCTTCTCTGTGCAGAAGTGATTGCTGAGACGGCTTTGTACAAATGTGTCCTGAAACCTTTAAAAGAAGCCATTGACTCTTACTTAAAAGAAATCCACAACAAAGATGGATCATTACAGCAGCTAAAAGAGAACCAACTTGTGATACAAAACACAACTACCACTGACCTGGGTGTCACAACTAGTGTGCCTGAAACCGTTGTGCTGGAAAAGATTCTGCATAAGTTCACAACCATGCACAAAGCCTACTCCCCAGAAAAGAAGATTGCTGTCTTGCTGAAGTCTTGCAAACTCATCTATGACTCCATGACTCAGGGAAACCCAGGTACAGCACTCCTACTGATATGGTATCCCAGCTGATGTGGTAATATTCAAACTGGAGGTAACAGTTATGGTTGATGTGTTTGGTAGCAGCTGTCCACAGGCTCTGTTCAGAATGGGCTGGTTAGTGACTGAAGTTCTCTGCACCAATAACAGATATAAGATGTTACCTGGTTAACTTTAAGCTACACAACTCCAAACAGATGTCTGTAAGTGTGTGTTTTATGGGTAATGTCCTTTTTGCACAGCTCTTTACATTCACCTTAAATCCTCAGAGCTCTGTCCCAGCTTGTAGCAGCTTAATGGTAAATTGTAAGATTGGGTCTTTCGAAAAAGTCTCTTGATTTGACCTTTAGAAAGTTTTTCCTAAATGGATGAAGAAACACAGAGTGCTAGTACTGTTTGTTACTAATTCCCAATGCTTCAGTAAATTCCAAAAGCCACTACTACACTTCTTTGCTTTGAGGAAGTATGTGCTCTGAGTGTAAATAAAACCTGAGCCTCAGGCCAACCACTAAATGCGCACATTAAGCCCTTGGCCTGCAGATAGGATGGATTTTTGCAGATAGACCAGGGAGCCCCTTCCTACAACAATCTGCATACTGTATACTGGTGAGCTGATGACCAGCCATGCATAAATTTGGAGAGAAGACAGATATTAATTTGCAACAACCTGTGGTTGTTCAAAAACTCACAATCTCCAAAGGTGCTTTTAGCTGTTCTGCATTATTTTGTACTGATGAAGTGGGTCTAAACCCCAATCCCTAAATCAAGGTTGATATATGGATGATGCCCAAAAAGCAGGCAGGAGAGACCTTCCTCTTGGTTTTCTCTCAAGGCCTGGCCAATCTTGGGAGCAAACTAATTAGGAAATTAACACCAGGTGCCCTGCCTTTAGAGTTAACATCAGGTGTCCTGCCTCTGAAGTTAATAGTATAAAACCTGTCTCTGCTTGCAGTGGCGGTACCTTGGGGGATTGTCTGTTATTGGAAGGGCTCTGCAACTGTCTGTGGCAAGTAGAGTTCCTAGCAGTGGTGGGACAAAATTGAGACCAGACCAGAACAGAATGAGGGTTATGTATGTAATGATGCTTTTCTCTGGTAATGATTGTGGTGATTTCTGTATGATTGGAATTGGGCTGATGACTTGATTTCTAGTTTGGCTTGCTCTTTCATGTGTATTGATTTGTTTTTTCCTCCTGTTGTTAATCATGTTGTATCTTTCCTGTATTCTTTAGAATGGGGAGGTAAAGTCTGGCCTGTAGGCCTCCTGCTCGTGGCCTTATCTTTCATGCTGGGCCATGTAGTCAGCAAAAGAACTGACAGCAGTCTTGGAGCACTCATACAGGACTTGCTGTGTCTGTTCTGAGCCTCATCTCAGGGTCATCCCTTGGACAATGTGCAGTGTGGTTAGTGACCAATCTGGACATGTTAACAATAGAACAAGAAGCCACCCTAGGTGCTGAGCCTAAGCTACAGGGTGGATAGGACCTCTGACTGTCCTCAAGTGTAATGAGGTTTGGATGCAAGTAGGGGAATTTGCTGTAATGTTGTTAAAACTGTTGTGCTAAGTTTGAGAGCAAATTTGGTATAGATCAGAGGCTTGTGTGCCTCACTAAAACTGATGTAGGTGGGAGAGCCTCCTTGCAATGCTGGTTGCATAATATGTGTCTGTCACACCTCAGCTCACAGCCAGAATTTCTCTATTGGAGGAAATGTTGTGTCATTTTATGTAACAGAAATTAGGGGTTGGGTAGATAGTTCAAAAACCCTACATAGTTTAAAAGATTGGCATTCATGAAATTAGAGGATCTCATTGTAATTTACTGTGCTAACCAAAGTGCTTCATTTTGGCCAGCTCAGCTGTTTTCTCATGTTGGGCATTACTGCAAGCAGAGCGTAGGTTGGAACCCTGTGCATCTAGTTCCCTCTCAGGACATATGATTAGCTATCTATACCAGGGCCTAGTCAGAAGAGAACTGGTCTGGCATTAAAGAAATGTACCCCAGTGAATTCAGACAAGAGAAAGAGGTTAAGGGCAGGAGAATGCTGTAGTCTAAATTCCAGAAGACAATGGATTTAAAAAAAAAAAAAAAAACACAACAACCAACACACTGTAGACCTCCTTAAAATTGAAATGTGTGAAACCTCTTCAGCATAAAGAACTGACCTCAGATCACTTTGATTTTCCATCTGGCAAACTGAAATACTTTCCTGAGGGGGAGCTGGCAGCTGGTGTTGTGCAGAAGAGTATGCTGCTGGCTGCTCAGGCCAGACTTTCAGTGGGTAGGAGCTCTCCTCCTGTGCTCTGCCCAGCTCAATAGCAGCAGCCCAAGGCCTCTTTTGCTTTCAGTGAGCCCTGAGGCAGAGCAGTGCTCTTCACACAGGAAGAGTAGAGGCCATGCTTGGCTTCTTCTGCTATAGGCTGTTTTTCTTTTAGCTGCTTTTACTCACTACTGAATCAGAAAGCTCCCTCTTCTTCCAAGATCAGAGGAGGTGGAACACAAAACTAATCATTCGTTCTGCTACAGGACCAAAATCAGTCTACTTCTGTACAGATAACTTTTCTGACAGTAACATAACTACTTATGTTGGTTTAATTTGTCTTAAAATCCAGTTTAATTTGCAATTTGGTAGCTCAGGCCAGGACTTTATCCACTTTAGGTTGACTGTAGGATGAGCTGACCAAGAATACAGTTTCATACCTCAAAGCAAAGTGTAAATACCACCAAATCAAGCACCCCTTTTCTTTTTTTCAGAACCCCCACGAAAGCACACGTTTTTAAATCTATTGAGACCCATGTACAGCTGTCCAGGCTTGTCCAGGATGTCCAGACAGGTACAGAGCTTTCTTTAAAACCAGGGATAGGCTTCCTCAGGAACATCTGTGCCTGTTGTAGTGCCCAACTTTGCACTGCTGACAGAATCATGAAACTTTGAAGCCAGTCTTGACTGTCTCTATGTATATTGGATCATTCTAAGAAACGAGAAGTTCTCTGGTTTGGTTGGAATTCATGCTACGTGACAAAATGTGCCTGAAAAATTTGCTGTGATTGAACCCCCTGATACTTGGACAATTAACTGAATGGGTCAGACCCTTAGCTGGTTTAAACTAATGTTTCTCCCTCAAGTTGAAGGCAATCAATTTGTGGATCTGAATCAAGAAGATGGGTTCACGGTCTTTGTCAGTACATCTTTCTCCCAACCGATCTCCTACAAGACATAGATATATGTTGAAGTAGGACTCATCTACAGCTGCATCTAGCTGTAGATGGCCACAATGCATATCATGTCTAGCTTCTCCTTGTAGACAATGGGGACTTAGCTGATGATGTTCAGCTGATTCATCCAGCTAGGTTTAGGTGTCTTTTTTAGGGAGAGATGATTCATGACAAGCTCCACTGATGATATTGATTAGCTAATCACTGGCTGCAAAAGTTTAGAGGTACGGGTTCAAATAGTGTAGGCAGTGCTATTAGGAAGTGAGTTGTCCCCAAAGGCACAATCAGGATGGCATCAAGGTATCTTACTGAGATTTTCCAAGTTCTGTGCAAACTTAGGTAACACCAACGCATGTCTCCAAGAATGTAGCCTACTATCAAAAAGTATGTAACCTGCCTTCTAAAAATACTAGTGGTTGGTGTGAATAATGTGCATTAAATGAGTAAAAGAAGTAGAGTTTGAAACCCACCCAGTCCTTACCCTGAAAACTGAATAGCTTTTTTTTTTTTTTTTTTTTTTTTTTTTTTTTTTTTTTTTAATCTGTGCACCGGTAAAAGTAAGAGGCAAGACTCACAGAGCGCTGTAAGCTCCCAGCTCTGACTTCTACATTTGGAGGGCATGACCCAATATCCACAGGGACAAATGGGTACATATCTCAATTGTACAGAAGCATTCTAATCTTATGTAGAAAAAACTGCTTATTATTTATCTTGCAGAAAAACCTTTACTCAGACAAAATGTCAAAGGCATATTGTGTGGTAGGCGTAGAACAAGAACCTCTGCTTTTCACTCTATCAAAACCACAAGTGATACTCTTGGAATGACAAACAAGATGCAAATCTGCATTATGTGTGGAGTGTACTGGCAGTGGTGAGACTGGATCTCACAGCCCTATGTTACCTGGGAGCTGCCACTCTGTGGAAAAGAACTGTTGGGAAAGCAAAAACAATGGAGTAGTAGACATCCATTTTTAAAGAAATACTGTGTGAGATAAACAGGTCAAGCTTGGTCAGTCCCTGAGCAGGGAAAAACAGGCATGGAAAGGCTCTAAGGTTAGAGCTGGAAATTTGAAAGATGAAAGGACTGCTTTCAAAGGAGGTTCACGAAGAATGAACAGAGGAACAATTTTCTTACTCCAAGATTTATAACTTGTGGACTGCCTAAGGTTATGAAGCTCCTTTTTTCCAAGTGTCTTTGAACTGCATATGGAGCTGGAGTGTACAGTATCCAGTACAGTTCTGTACTGGTGATGGAGTTGGCTAGGTGGCTGGTCCTAAAACATCTGATTTAATAATTTCCATTGCATAGTTTTGTATGGCTGGTGCGTAGCTTCCTTAGGGAAGAAGATAGAACATATATGTATTCCATTGGGCTCTTTCTCTTCCCTAGCTTTTAGGATTGAATTATCGTCCCCCATAGAACTGAGAAGCTGAATATTAGCTGCTTTGGTGTACTGCTATATGGCTGTGCAGTTGACAGAGGTGTGGACATGAAGCAGTACATCTTCAGTGGGATAGCAGAGCCTGTGAAAAGGAAATTGGCTTTAAATACTTCAGCAGCCAGTGTAGAGCTGATGCTAGAAGTTCCTAAAACTGTCAGAGTAATCCCATCACACCGCTTACTTCTGAGAAGGGAAATAAAGCTATACCTAACAGTTTTGCTTTGTTATCTTTAGGATGAGAATATTTGCATTTAAGTTACTAACAATGAGGGCTGATGGACTAGAGGGTGTTTGGGTTTTTTTGGTTTTTTGTTTTTATTTTTCTAGCTAGTACAATTGCTACATTCACACTGAGGAGCCAGTTCAAATTTTTAGAGGGGAACAAATTCCTCTGATCTGTAAAACATAAGTTTTTGAAACTGATTCACACTGCCTGCATGTATTAACTCTCTTAATTCAACTACACCATAAATTAAACCTTGGGGAAGTAGTATGGGATGGACAAGACAGCAAAACACTAGTGAATGGAAGGATGGTCACAATCTTATGATCTTGAACCAATCTCCGTTAACTTTGCTGTATGTTAGGCTTCCCAGCTATAAACTGAGGGTAAAATTCATATTTCCTGGAGATCTGCTGTTTGACGTCATTCCAGTGTTTTAGAAACATTAGAGTGAGATGCAGAGCATCATCATTATCTGCTTGCTGGTTATCTGAATATACTGGAGGGGAAATAAATGCATGAATGTGTTAAAATAGGCTGTAATTTCTTTATGATGGCTTAGGCGGGATTCCAGTTGCTTTAAAACATGTATTTAATTAATACCCATTCTTTTCAAGCACTGCATCCCAGCCAGGAGCTGATGTTGTATTTGCTTTGCTATAAACATAATAGGATAGCAGAAGAGAAGGCTTATTTTAAGCTTCTTATGGTTATTTATGAAATAAATGTTTCCTGATCCTGCAGGGAAGAGGGGGGAAATAAAGCAAGTAAGTCATATCTGGAGTAGGACAACACCACCTTGAACAAGCCAGCCCAGTTTCAGTGTCACTGAGACTACTGGAAGGGTCAGAGCTACATTTAACTGTCAGCTGCAAACATACTACTTTGTGAGAAGCCACAGATGGAGCTAGACATGCAGGTCTGGGAGCTTGGCTTGGGCCCAAATTGAAAGGAGAACTAAGGAAGCAGCAGCCTGGAGAGAAAAGAACATCCCTGCTGCTGCCCCCAGATGGATACTAGTTAGTGCCCTGGTTCCTGTCATCACGGCATCACAGAATAGGTTGGAAAGGCTATCTGGAGATAGGTAGGAGTTGGAAGGGGCCTGTGGAGATCATTTAGTCCAATCTCCCTGCTAAAGCAGGTTCACCGAGAGCAGGTTGCATGGGAATGTATCCAGGCAGGTTTTCAAAGTCTCCAGAGAAGGAAAGCTCATGACCTCTCTGGGCAGCCTGTTCCAGTGCTCTGTCACCCTCAAAGTACAGAAGTTTCTCCTTATGTTAGGTGGAACTTCTTGTGTTCAGTTTGTGCCCAGTGCCCCTTGTCCTATTGTTGGGCACCAGTGAAAAGAGACCGGCCCCATTCTCTTGACCCCCACCCTTTAAATATTTAAAAGCATTGATAGGATCTCTCAGTCTTCTGTTCTTCAGGCTAAACAGGCCCATGTCTCTCCCTGTGTCTCCCTGCCATCTCTCTTGAACTGGGAAGCCCAGAACTGGACACAGTGCTCCAGCTGTGGCCTCACTAGGGCAGAGTAGAGAGGGAGGAGAACCTCCCTTGCCCTGCCTCATCTTAATGCACCCTAGGATACCACTGGTCTTCTTGGCCACAAGAGCACACTGTTGGTTCATGGTTAACTTGTCCATCAGGACTCTCAGGTCTTTCTCCATGCAACTGTTCTCCAGAAGGTCAACTCATAACTGGTGCATGGGGTTACTCCTCCCCAGGGGTAGGACTTCATGGCACAGGGACCATGTGTGTTGCAGGATGCTGAGCAGCACCAGTCTCTCAGGTGTCTTGCTTCACAGGCATTGTTTCATACAAGGTTGTGTCTCCTGCTTCTGATCATACCAAATTGCTGTTAGCACCCATTACCCCTGTGGATGGACTGAGACACAGGGCATCTCAGAGCCTTATGTGGTCTCGTGGCTGTACATGTCTAAGCTAGTCCCTGTGCCTGCTGTGACATCCGAGGCCAGGAGTAGGAACAAGGAGAGGTTCAGAGTCCTGCCCTCTCAGACACTTATCCTTGGCTCCATGTGCAGTTGGTAGAGAGCAGCTGTTGTGATGCCTACAAGGAGCAGGCACAATACACCATGCCTGCTGACCTGCCCTAGGCAACACTGGAACTTTGTAGCAAGACATGGAGTCAGAGGTAGATCCTTGATGATTAAAAAACCGGGCTTCATATTCCACAAGTGGATTAAAATGATGTCTAGTTTATGCAGGTGACGAGCACGCAGCATATGGAGGATGAGTACTCTTTCCATTATTGCGGTCAGACATCCCTACTCTGAGTTTATAAATCAAAAAATCCTGTGTATCAGATTTTCATATTTAAGCAATATAAACACCTGGGAGCCAAATAACATTTCTACGAAGTCTTAAAGTTGCAAAGGTTTATAACAAGGGCTGGTGGGCAGAGCAGCTAAATCAGCTTATCGAAATGAGATAGGCAGCAGTGAAACATAAATGATGCAGTGCCTGCTTGTGCACACCACCACTTCTGAGCCAATAAATAAGAGATTCTGTAGTTCTTGAAAAATGCCCTCTAACTTTCATTAGCTAGCACTAGAAGTTGATGGCTGTGGACATGGAATTATTTACTTCCAAGTTTCTGTTTTCACTCTGTATTTGTTGGTCAGTCCGTTGGCTGGTTGGTGATTTCTTTTGGTGATGTTTTATTTAAAAAAGAAAAAAGGCCTTTTTTTTTTTTCTTCATGTTATGAAATAGCAGTTTTCTTGGATGCCGTAGCAGATACAACATGGATTGGTCATCAAAACAAAGTGGTAGGGAAGAGAAAATTCTTCTATTGGTGTTGCACTGGAAATCTCTTGACCATCAGGAAATGAGAAGCACGCAATCCTTGCCACTGATCAGTAACTACTACATCATAAACAAAAGGTTTTTAAAGAAGGGAAAAAAGAGCTTAACAAACTTTTTGGTCCCTCATCTTCCTTTACATTAGTTTTAAACAGAAATAACTCTGCAGGCATCTGATTTACTCAGGTCAAAAGGAGAACAGGGCTTTTCTCCATCCAGTTTTTCTAGTACATTTTCATGTCTCAGTTGTGTCACCTTTTTTTGCTAGGCAACATTACACAGCTGTAAGACTAAGCTGGTTGTATTAAGGTAATATATGTGACAGTAATGAATCGGACCCTTAACAGATCTAGAGCTTTCACAGGGACATAAGCCAAGGCACCAACAGACAAGCAAAACATCCATCCAGATGTTGATGAAACATACAGTCCTTTTATAGTTTGGTTGAAGACCAGGCTGTGTCATTTAACTAAGGGCAGCCATAATACTGCAAACAGAATTGAAAGTGTTACTCCAGCTTTCATTAAATAAATTGTCTCTGTTGTGGCATGTGCAGACTGTTAGAAACAGGCTGAATTAAAGCCCTGATAGTCTCTCATCCTCTAACACTTTGTTTTAACTGGATCAACTCTCTGTTCACTTAGATATATTACTGTGTTTGTTTTAAAGCCATACTTTTTTTTTTTTTTTAGTCGGTGGCTAAGCTCATGTTTATTTGAGGCTTCAGAAGAGTATATTTCTTTGCCAGTGGAGAATCTGTGTCAGCTATGAATGACAAAAAAGGAAAGCTGACTCATGGCAAAGATTTTAAACAATTCAGTGGGAACATCTGAGAAATAGGAATTTATGCCCTACCATGGTAAGGCATGTGGACTGTGGGCTAAAAACGGATAGGGCATAATTCCACTGAAGCTACATCAGGAGTAGCTTTTATTCTTTGAGGCGAGGCAAGTGGTTCTTGAGTGAAACACATATGGCCCATGAAAGGAACACATCCAAGTGCTCAGGTGAGGAAAACTGCCCACCATCCAAGGGAGAATTTTGTTCAGAATGAAAGCAGTCTGGACCTATCTTAAAAGGAGTGGTCAGCTCTGAGTGTTGGGAAAATAGGCCTGTTAAGCAACTTGTTATTATGGGCTGTCTATCATGAATTTATAAAATGTTGGTAGAAAGTGAAAGCATCTTTCAAATAAGAAAAGTTATCTTTGTGTTCTTTGCTGTTTATGTTGGTGAAGTTTTAGTTTGGATTCTATTTTAAGTAGTTATTTATAATGATGACTGTTAACTTGCACTTTTTTAACCTCAGAGATCCTGAAGAGCTTTTACAGATTACATATAAGATTACTTTATTGACTTTATTCGTATGAATGCACAGGAAATCTTGAGTCTATGAAGATCCATTCCTATAGCACCTATGGCACAGCCATCCAAAACCCAGTCTAGATCCAATGTGAAAGGCTTCTTGTTTTCTTAGCTAGGCACCATGGCTGGAAAGATGCTTCCCCTTAGATTCTAGCTCTTAGGGGACTGTTTTAATTTGTAACACATAGTGTGATGTTTTGCCCTCTGAAGGAACATAAACGTGGATTTCTTCAGTCCTGAAATTCCCTGTCTCAAATTCCATTTTTCTTCTCACTGCTAATGCATGTAGACAATTTGCTGCTAATATTGAAAATGTGAACTGCAGTCTTGACGGCCGTGCCAAATCAGAGGGCCAGGCTGGCAGCCTTTGCACTCTTCAAGGATTGTCCCTTGTCTGTGATCCATAAAGTTTGTTTCTTTTTCTCCAGTTAATAAAGTATGTCAGAAACAGAGCTCACTAAAAATGTTCGAGCTCTTATTTTGGGCTTGAAGCAAGCTGTCTTACTTTTAAAGTGAACTAACTTTCCATTTTTCAGTACTTCTTCTTTGCTGGTGGTTTCAAGCTTTAACTCTTCACATAGTGTAAGCTAAAGTCTGCAGAGGACATGCGAGGTGAGCAGCTGTCACTGTTGTGTGGGAACATGTCTTTGTGGTGAATTTATTGGGACCACTTTGTGTTTCTCTTTGCCCAGGGAAACCGTATGGTGCAGATGACTTCCTCCCTGTGCTCATGTATGTGTTGGCCCGCAGCAACTTGACTGAAGTCCTTCTAAATGTGGAGTATATGATGGAGCTCATGGACCCTGCTCTGCAGCTAGGCGAAGGTAGAGTACAGCATTTGCTTCTGGGATATTCACTTTGGAAATCATTGTTTAACTGAGCTTCAGTGTTTGTGCAAGTGGGGCAGCAAGGCTCTGGCTAGGCTTTGTGGATAAGCTTTGGACAAGCTTTTGAAATCTGAGGTTCTAAAATTACTGTCAGACACCCTAACTGTTTTCAGCAGTGAAATGCCCTTAGATACCAGCTAGAAAGGCAGGGACCCAAGCATAAAAGAGAACTGAGTTGCTGGATTAGTAAATTAAGCAGAGGTATCTAGTGTTCCTTGACCCAAAGGCTGAAAAGTTAAAGCGCCTTTGCCTAAGATTAAACTGCATCCATTGTGTGGACACTTTTATTTGTTCCAGTGAGAGAAGAGCATACTTCTTAAACGACATTGTATGCCTGGGACCACACATCATTCTCTTGATCACTCTGCTCTTGAGTGATCCCTTTGACAATGTTCTCTGGCTCAGTATCATAGCAAGGCAGAGAAAGCAAAGCTGGGTTAGAGTGGAAAACTGGGTTTGGGTGTGAATAGAGACCTCTGCTATTAGAGGGTTAAACACCCCAGGGAACTGTGGGCTTTTAGTTTCTTAAATATAGCTTTGGAAGCAAATGCTAAGATCAAACTGGCTAAATAACGATATCAGAAAGGAGACTGGGAATAACTGCAGGTATGGGGAACAGGGCAAAAAAAAACAAAACAACATGTCAGTGAGGGTAGCTCTGAGATGGCAAAGTGCAGGGCTAAAATGGAAACTGGCAAAAGTCAACTTGAGTCAGGCCTTTCAAAGTTAAGCAGCAAAAGGTGATTCAGGCACAGAAATAGAAGAAGAAGAAAAAAAAAAAGGAAAGTGTAAGGGAGGAAAAATGTGAAATTACATCAGATCAATACATAAAATCATTTAAATTTGGCCTCCAAATTAATAATTTACCTTGAATAAATTTTATAATAGTGATGTTGACTACTGGGGCAAAGGCAGGGACAGGTGAGGGGGAATGACTGTGTGGAAATGAAGATACTGGAAAGCAGAAGAAAAACTAATTCTTAAAGAAGATGTAATGAATTCCTGTCATGGGGGGCTGGGAGATCTTCCTCCCTGCATTCTGAGGGAAGGGATACACCATGTCGCAGGTCACATCATGGGCGCTCCTGACTGCCAGAGCAGCAGAAATACTGAAAGACAGATGAGGGAGGTTAGTAGCTACATTTAAAAGGGGAGGAGCAGTGGCACCTGCAGGCATGTCTGTTCTGAGCAACACTGGGGGTGGGAGTGAGGGAAAGGATACGTTTTAGGTGTATTGCAGACTTACATAGCTATGGGACTTTGCTGTTTGGATCCACCCGAGTACAGAAGAGCAAATGGCAATGTCTGGTCTCTCCTCGGCTACAGCAAACTTTGACGGTGTTCTAAAATACAGTTCTGTCTCAGCCGCCGCTCCTGGGGAGCCCGCCAGCGCCCGAGGAAGGGCCACGGCAGCCCAGGCAGGCCGGAGCGGGCTGCGGGCGGTCTCGAGGTGCCATCTAGAGGCAACTTCAGTTATGACGAAAGTTAATAAAAACCGGGAGCTCCGCCCAGCTGACGGGCAACTCTTATTTCCCCTTGCGGAGGGAATCTCTGACTTTTCCCCTCTCTTCGGAGGGGACCCTGGCGCGGGCCGGCAGAGCAACTGGAAAACCGAGCACTTGTAAGGCAGCCGGTGCTGGGGCAGCGCCCTGACACGGGGCTGCCCCGCAACCAAAGCAGCAGCTCCCTCATATTCACCTCTGTCCTCTTATCAGGGCCTGTCTTCATCTCTGTTGATGAAGCCTGTTCATACCATGGTCCAGCTGCTTCTCTGACTGTTGGTTATTTGTTACCTGCTGCAGCCAACACCATAGCAGCCAGGGAGTTTCTGGGGGAAGAAGACTGGCTGCAGACTGTCGCTGCTTTATCCCCTTTCTCTGCTTTATCAGGATTTATCCCACAACCCTAAACAGCCCAGGAATTCCTCTCAGCCAAATGCTTGGGCCCCCTGTCTGGTCAACAGAGATGGAGGGAGGAGAGGGTGACTTGTCCTTGCAGGTCTAGGCCTTCAATGGTGCTGAGCCCACAAGGGACCCAGACTCTAAATTGTCATGTAAGTCTCAACCGTATCCTGGGTTGCATCAAAAGAAGCGTGGCCAGCAGCTCAAGGGGGGTGATTCTATCCCTCTGGTGAGACCTCACCTGGAATACTGCATCCAGCTCTGGAGTCATCGGCACAGGAAAGACATGGACCTGTTAGAGCAAGTCCAGAGGAGGGTCACAGAAATTATCAGAAAGCTGGAACATTTTTTCTACAAAGGCTGAGAGAGTTGTGGTTGTTCAGCCTGGGGAAGAGAAGGCTCCAGGGAGACCTTAATGTGGCCTTTCAATTTATAAAGACAGAGAAAGGCTTTTTACCAAGTCCTGCAGTGACAGGACAAGGAGCAACGGTTTTAAACTGAAAGAAGATAGATTTAGGTTGAATATAAGAATGGTTTGGATGTGGTCTGTGCCTTCAGCCTGTTTTTTCTTCTAGGGCATCTACAACTTCAGCATTCTGGGCAGTGACTTTGCTGCGAAGCAGAAGGGGGTGGAGGACACTTTGGTGATTAGGTTTCCTTTCTCTTGGGTTACTTTCGGACACTGCTGCACTCCCTGCCTCGAGGCAGGCAGTGCAAGCATTAGACATCTGCTACTGCACAGGCACAAGCAGGCAGGATGGAAGTGGAAATGGATGGCGCATGCAGGTGTGATGTTCAAACACAAGACCTCCTCCTTTTGCAGGCTCTTATTATTTAACCACCACCTATGGGGCCCTGGAGCACATCAAGAACTACGACAAAATCACTGTCACACGGCAGCTGAGCGTGGAGGTGCAGGACTCCATCCACCGCTGGGAGCGGCGGAGGACGCTGAACAAGGCCCGGGCCTCCCGCTCCTCGGTGCAGGTAGCTGGCATTTCTTTCTAGAGGAAAAAACCTGGAAGGTGAACGTGCTCTCTCTGTACTTCCTGATTTTTTAATATGATGATAATTGTAAAACAAAGTTATCCCAAATCACTATTTAAAAATGAGATAATGTACAGTGCAGGTTTTCCAAATCTTAAAAAAAAACACATCTCATTTGAGATACATATTATTTAAAAAATGCATTTAGACTTCTGTCTTGAAATACCCTCATAATGATATAATGTTCAGTATGACTGCAGAGTGATTTTGTTGTTCATTCTTGAAGGAGGCATGCTAGAAGCCTTTGCTTGTGGAGCACTACAGCTGGGAGGCACAAAGGCCCCCAGCTCCATGTCTGTAGGGCCTAGGGAAGTCCTGTGCTAAGCTGAGATGCAAACAAGATATGCAGGGGTGGTTTCTAGGTGGCATAAAGATGTAGGAGGATCCAAGACATCCCAAGGGCCAGTCAAAATGTCTTCCGAGCCTGGTTTCTGTCTGGCAGCGGGGCAGACCCAGCAACAGCTGTCTGGATTTGAAGCCCATGCTTGGCAAAGACCTCCTCATGCACCAGTGGGAGACAGTCCCAGGAGGGATGGGTGCTCTGAGCCTTCAGCCGTGGTGAGACTGAGCACAGGACCAGGCAGGCAGGGTGCCCTGCCAGCCCCGTGTCCTGTGATCAAATTGTCACCCACAGGGAGGCAGCAAAGGCCACGTCTCAGGTTCTGTAAAGTCTTCACAGTGCAAAACTGAAAATGATGAGTGCCAAGGGGAAGGCCAGAGGACAGTCTCCCGTGGGGTAGACACGGTCCATAGAGCCCGTGAAAGCATGGGGCTTCACGCGTTTCCCATGCTGCAGTCAAAACAGTCCCTGGCCATCTCAGAATGTGTGAATGGTGGCTGAGTCACATCAAATATCCATCCAGCCCCAAGTTCTGCTCTGGCAGTAGCTCATAGAGAGTACCTAGCATGGAGCATAGTAGCTGGGCAAGCAAATGCTACGTTTCCACAGAAGATTCCCAGCACCTCCAGCAGCATAACAGCTGTTTTCCATTCCTTTGAATGAAGGGTAATACCAGAGATATGTGAGCCCATCCTGATGGAGGCAAACAGTTTGCTGAGGTGCTTGCAGGTACCTCTGTACACCCCTCTGGTTACCTTACTCATCTGCAGTGATATTCCATAAAGGCAGTTTGGAAACCCATAGTCCAAATATTTAGCAAGTCTCACTGCTGCTGGGGAACCTGAGTACTTTCTCGCCAAAAAGGTTGGGAATTTTTTTAAACTTCACAGACACAAATTAAACACGCAAGTTCCACTGTGGCTGAAGGTTCTCTAGGTTCTGTTTCTCATAAGTTTGACAAGGGGAAAGTTGTCCCAACAGTCATTACTGCCTGAAACAAGATAAAAGTAAATCAGTCTTCTCAACGTAACTTCTACTGTTTCCTTACTGATGAAAGGAAGTTTGGAGGACACGCTCTGAAGGTGCTGTTTGGGTGATGGAGTTACAAGGGTCACCACAGGTTCTGTGGGATGGGGTTTTCAGGCCACATCTCTGAGGTTTTTGATTTGTTATTGTAGTCTGTTACTTCGTTGCATCCTGTTTCTTCAGGAGCTGTAAAAAGGTGGGAGAAGGACCTGCTGCAAACTTCTCACTAAGGATATTCAACAAAATCAGAAGAAAACTTTACTTTACATGCCTTTACAGGGCTAATTATTTTGTTAAGTGTTTGTTAGTTTAAGTCTTTTCTTAATTTGATTAAGCAAATTTGACTCAAAGATTGTTTGTCAGAGGGGAGAAAGGAGAGAATAACTAGGGCATTGGAAGAATGATTGGAGGATGTTTGGGAGTGTTTATGAGCTCTAGGCAGCTAGAGCTTTAAGCCTGAATTCTGCCTCCTTCAGTCCTGAGTCACTGTTCACTGCAAGATCTATCCTCATGTTTCTCCTCAGGATTTTATCTCTGTCTCCTTTCTGGAAATTGGTGCTCAGTCAAGGACACTTGCTTCCCGGAATGACACCACAGCTGAGAAACTGAGGCAGCAGTGTGCTGAAAAGTTTGAAGTCTCCCATCCCAATGACTACAGACTCTTTGTTTATGTTGACGACCAGTGGCTGCAGCTGGATGAAGATGCCCTTCCTCACCATATCAAAGCTTCCCTGTTGAAGAGTGAAACCAAGAAAGATTTCCACTTTGTTTATAAACCAATAGACCATAAAGTGCCACCAGTTCCAATTGTCAGAGAGTCAGACTTTCCCTAAGGTCCATACTGCTCTTTTGTTGTGTTTGCTGTCATCCTGGAAGGGCTGGATAGTTTATCTTGTGAGATGCTCCAGAGACCTGCAGATACCAGAGGATGGCCTTCAACACAGGACAGATGTGCTAATCGTAGATGCTGTCTGAATACAGGGAATTTCTCAGCAGCATTCATTTGCAGAAATAAAAGGAGCATTCAGGAGAACATTCATCCTCTGGAAAACTTGAAGTATTAAACCTCAGAACCTCCCACTGGCAACCAGCTGACATCACAGAATGTAAATGGACAGTGGAGAAAATCCAGAGATCTTGCAGAAAAGTGGACATTTACTCCATAACAAATTATGGCAGGTGTGAATCACCTTTATGCACAAGGCCTGTGAAAGGTCTGCACACACCTCAATCTGTTTGGAGGAAAGATTGTGGTTTTGCCTTGCAGTGCCTGCTCACCCAGTCTGAATAGACTGAGACTTGTTTGGTGTATTCAGAGGAGCAGGATTGCCACCTGTAGCAGAACTCCATCTTTATCTTGCTGTCTATGATATGTTATTGCCTTTGAAATCCACATAATTACAGACCAAGCAAGAGGATCCTGTGCGTTCACTAAGAATACATTTTCTGCCACCTGCTTGTCACTGAAATCAGGTAGCACAGGCATTTTCATCAGTGCATTTTTTTTAAAGATTGAAACTCTTCACTATCAGTTTTACATGTACAGCAGTTTTAATCACATCGGTTGTATGATATAGTGTCTTATTAATCGTGTATTTATTTCCATGCGTGATATGGTGCATTTATTTTAAAATAAGCATTTGTAAAGAACTTAATAATTTGCCCACTGTAGCAAACCAGATTAAAATTTAAAGGTCAAAAAGAGCTAGAATTAAATACCTGTCCCTTTTTACCCAGATGTCATTTTGTCTAGTGGCAAGTCCCCACTAGGTTTTTACTTTAATAAATTCAGGCTGTTGCAGACAGAACTTGCTAGTTCTCCTTAAGAAAGGGTGTTTTATTGTGGGCTTTGCTCAAAGCTGCTCTTGTTCACTCCCACTAATGCTCAAAAAAAGGACTGGGACACTTTAGGCCAAGTTGCCCAAGGTTGCCTTACTTCTGAAGCTCCAAAGATGAAATGATATGGCATAGAGCTGGTCACTCTGTCTGTCGGGCTTGAAATGTCTGTGTTCTCCATCTGTAGCGTGCACTGGACAGATCTGCACACAGACAGCAAACCAGTGCTGTGCCTCTGCCAGCTCGGGCTGCACGTGTCTTGCCAGGAAAGGACAACAACCAAGAATGAGGAACAGGGAATAGAGCAATCTTGGTTTCAAGGACATCATGTGCAGAGCTTGCAGTGTGTGACAACGGTACTGAGTTGACTCCAAATTCATGGTTATTTCTGCTCACATGCAGCTGTCAGCACCTCTGCCCTGCCTCTGGGCCCGACACACGCAGGATGTCAGAGCTGAACCCCTTCCCTCATGCTGGCTCCTGCAGGGCAGCGTGCTCCTGCTGGGAGCTTATGCTGCTCTCAGGGTGGCACTCGGGATGCTGTGACCCAACCTCATTTCCAGTCCCAGTCTAATGGAGGAGGTGCTGCTGTCAGGGCCCTGAAGGCATGCACAGGCTCTCCTGCCTCCAGTGCTGCACCAGGACTGGCCTACAGCCCAGGACCCTGTGCCAGCCTCCCAAGGCTGACAGCCTCTGCCTCAGTGATGCTGCAGCAGGGCTGGTTTCCAGCTTCCAAGAGCCGTGTCCCATCCTGGCCTCAGCCTGTCCCCATCCCTAGGGAGGTGCCTGATGTGCAAGACTGGGGCTGCCCCTCGTGCTCCCCGCAGTCCCACTCCCAGCTGTAGCAGCGGGGCACACCCTCAATGAGCTCCCATGGCCCTGGGAGCTGCTGGCCTCTCTGCCCCAACAGCAGCTTCCCCCTGTCCATCCTGCAGGCTGCAGCAAAGACATCAGCTCTCACCCTCCTGCTGCCCTGCCCTGCATGTCATGTGCCTATGGCTCAGCCGCAGGTCCTCCCTGAGGAGCTGGGTGCAGGGTCTCCTTGGTGCCCCAGCTGTGAGGCAATGTGTCCTCACCCTCCCTGGCTCCTCAGCACACTACCATCCTTGTGTGTTGGGTGAGCTCATGGCAGTCAGCCTCTCTGGTGGAAGCACTGCCAGAAAATACCTGACACACAGCACAGAGAGGCCAGTTGTCCTGTTGCCATCACAGGTATCATCACTGATGTCTGTTGGTCCTGTTGGCCGACCTCCTGTGTGTTGGCCATACTGAGGATGATCTTGACTGTCACCCCTGGGGCTATGGCAGCAGGAGGGTCCAACCTCTGGGCAGTATCACTTATAAACCTTCCTTTTTTTCTGAAAGTTACCACCCCACCCATGCTCTCCAAATGCTGTTTTGCACCTCGTCTCCCAAAGGAGACACTCCCTGCCCCCTGCCTCTTGCTTCCCTTCCCCACCCAAACCATGGGCCCAGACTAGCTCTGTGGCCCATCTCCCACCAGCCTCCTCACCCTGCCTTGGTAGGACTTCAAGCCATAGGTACCTGTCTTGCCTTCCACCACCTGTGCACAGGTATTGTACTGCATGGGGTCCATGTACACCAGGGCTGAGGGGCCCCAGCACCAGATCCAAAGATAGACGGGGGGTTCTGAGCAGCAGTTTAGTTCTGCTGTGGCTGCTGCAATTTATTTTAAGCCCCAGGAGCAAAGATGTCTTTGTCTGCCAAAGTCCTAGGCCTGATCAGATTATCTTCTACTGTAATGTTCACAGTTAACGAGCCTAAAGTAATCTGCTGGGGATGAGGCTGAAGTAGAAACATGGAAGGAAGCTAGAACTGATCTTCTGCAGGGTGCTTCCAGAGAGCAACTAGACTTTGCACCGGCCAGGGCTGAACAACAGGTTGAAGTGAAGCACTCCGGCACCTCGCAGCATCTTGGGACATCTGAGTCAGCACCTGGACTTTGGGGTGAGGGGGAACCACGCCACACGGCTGATCAGTGGAGCCTGTGGAAACTGCAACGGTGTTAAATCCCTGCAATCCCAATGGTCTCAGGCTAAAATTTACCAAAGCTGAGGCCCAAAATCAGACCTGCAGATTCCAGTTTTCAAAACACGGCAAGTGCCAGCTGAATCTCTGTGGACTTCTACAAAGGCTCTGAAATTGCACATCTAACATTTTCCAGGGGCTCCACAGGGGTGACATGGCTCCCCCAGGGCCTGACCACAGCTGTCCCTTGTCAGGGCATGCAAACTGGGAGATGACCTGAATGACGGGATCCTGGACGAGCCAGGACACAGACAGCTGCAGCCTCTCCAGGCCCACAGCTCAGCTGTGGGACTCAGGCTCTGCCTGTGCCAGGCTCATGCAGAAGCAGCCTGTCTGGAGCAAATGTCCCATTGTTTTGGTGATCCTGGCACAGCTCTGAGTTTCCAGTGTGGAGACTGCTGGAGTGGTTCAGCATTTCCCTCTGGACCATGGCACCCACGGTTCTGTGCTGCTATGAAGTGGTATCTGACATTTCAGGTGGTGAGAAAAAACATGTCAGATGTGGGAATGAAATGGGGATTTTTAAATGTTCCATGGGATTTTATTCATTTGCTTTGCCATGATGTTTTGTTTCCTCGTGCTGCAGCTCAGGCGAGGAGGAAGCAGTCCAATCTGGTGATCTGTGGCCTTCCCTGGTTAGTCAAGATGGTCACACCATGACTCATGCTCTGGCCCTCACATGAGCCATCAGCAGACAGGAGTATTTCAAGAGACTTTGACCAAGTAGTGTTGTGCAATCCAGTCAAGGCCTCCTCAAACACATGTTTACAGAGAAACGTTGTGCAATGGTCACTCATTTACTCAGAAGACAAGGATCCTAGCGTGAGAGAGAGGGGAAGAGGGAGACCTGCAGAACTCAGCAACTTCTGTAAAGAAAAAACAAAAAGCCCGTGAGGCTGCTTCATGCACAGAGCTAACTTAACACTGCTTTGCACCCAGTGATACAATCAATCTGTCAGTAATTCAGGGAAGTAATTACACACTGGCAGGTCACACATAACCTAAAATAAAAGCCATTGAAATCAAAGGCAGTTTTCCTGATAAATTCAAGACCTTCTGTGCTTCATCAGTCACCAACTGCACTTTGAAATCCAGCACAAAGGCTGGCCTTTTCCCACAGGCTTGGGGACTGCTTCAGGCTGTCAAGGATCCCTGGAGATCATCAGTCCAATCCCTGCTCAAGTGGAGCTTTGTCCCAAGGTTGTCAGGGCCTCATCCTTTCACTGCTGCAGGCCTCTGGGGCTGGAGATCATCCAGCCTTGCTGGGGCTCTGGTCCAGCATTTCAGCCTCTTGGCAGTGTGAAAAAAAGTTTCATCCTATCCAGCTGGTGCAAAGCCCCTGCCTGTCCCACCGGAGTCCCTCCTTGGACTGGTGTTGCTTCTGCAAGGTACTGGCCAGCTCTGCCTGCAGTGCATGGATTACAGACTTGTAATATGTCTGCAGTGTCCTGCTCCTCTGTGCTTCTCGCTAGCAGAGAAGGGAAGGCACTTACACGTGCTCTGAACTAAACTCTGCCCATGTCGGTTTGCATTATACAAAAAGAGGCAGCACACGGCGTTCTATGGGGGCTGATCGTACATCCTGCTCTCCAGGTCCTCTGGAAGGAAAGGTGGTGAACTGCTGCTGTGTGCAGCGAGGTGTTGGGAAGAAACACAGCAGATTTGGCACAGAACATCTGGGAAAAGGGCGTCAAACTCTGTTCCCAGCAGTGATGAGGAGGACAGGAAGCCCCGGCTGGTGCAAACGATACTCTTCCAGGGGTTACGGACACACAGAACTATTCTGCTCAGGAAAGGCTTTTGTAAATAACAGCCCCAACTTTGCCCTGTTCTGCCACGTGATGACAGTTTGCTGGGAATCTGACAATTTTCTGTATTTTTCAAAGTCATTCCCAGCATTCTAGGAATGGCAGCCTGAGCAGCTGCGTGCCTGCAGGAAGAGTGAGGG